AGAAGTCACCCCCCGGGGGGATGGCCACGCCACAATCCCGTCTCCTCCATTCTCCTCTCGGGATCTTGGGTACGCACGCACACGTGCTTGGCATGAGTTTAAGCCACTTGGTCCAGGACTTGAACCGTGGTCAGCTACATGAGAGTCCAGCAACACAGCCATTATGCCAACTGCTGGTCCCCTGGTGTGCTTTTTCAAGCCACCAGGTCCAGGACTCAAACCGCACAGTTGGCCATGTAGACTACAGCCACCTTAAACACCATGTCACCAGCCAGCCCGGACTACCCAATTTCAAGTGCCCAATTACTACGCACAGCTAGGGGCTACCACGTTGGACAGTACTGCTCTAACACCTTTTTACAATACACCTGTATTTTTCAGACCACTCAGCGTCTCCATTCCTTTGAATAACAATCTCAAAAAACAATAACAACTTCTACTAACATGTATTAAGAGCTTATGTGCCAGGCAGTGCTATAAGGTCTTCACAGGGATTTTAATCCTTGTAAGAGTTTATGATTACACGTGACTTGCCTTCCATTTGATCAAAAGTGATATATTTTTTAGACCAGCAGATGGCGTAATGATTACATTGTTGGACTCCCATGCAGCCGACCAGTTTGAATGCTAGACCTGGTGGCTTCAAACTCACAGTGGGCATGTGTGCAAGTGTGCTCAGAATCCCGGGAGGAGAATGGAGAAGAAGGGATTGTTGTGTGGCCACCCCCCCCCCCAGGGATTTCTCACTTTCTGTCTCTGTTTCTCTCTGTCTCTTTGGCAAGTGCATGTGCCCTATAGCAAAAAATTCCTAAAAGAAAAACGATATCTTTTCAAGTTTATAGTACAACATCTTATTTAAATGTACTTAGACTTAGTAAGCATCTTATTTAAATGTACTTAATTTAAGTAAGTTATAGTACAACATCTTATTTAAATGTACTTAATTTAATGTAAGCAATTTTATGGTCACCCCCTCCCATAGCCCATCCTGGTAACTCAGATTTTCCTAACCAGCAACATCTCCAAAACTTCTGGAGGAGACTATCTAAGATCCACTCGTTCCTTGATTCATTCCTTCGCAGAGCCTTTACTGAATGAATGCCTTCGTGCTAGGCACCAGGCAAGACAAGAAAGGACCCTACAAATGCTCACCTGGAATCAAAGAAATGCAAGGTGGGGACACAGGAAGGCGAGTCCCATTATTTTTTTGCCACCAGATGGCTTTGCACACCTGCCCTGACCCATCAACACCTCTGTCCTCAGGGGATCTTTCAACAGTCCCTGTACCTCAGGTCTCTGAAATGGTCTCCACGCAACACACGAAACTCCAGAGAGCACACAGAAGAGACAGTGGGATAGAAAGCCCAGGTCATTTGGTTCAGGGGAGTGACACTGATCCTCAAGCATTAGAGCTGGTTCCAGCATCTCCTCAGACTCTCCAGGACAGGCATGTTTCTTCATCTCCCTGGGCTCAGTTCTCTTCTCTGAAAAATGAGAATTATGGGGCCGGTCCCATAGCCCAGCAGTAAAGTCCTGCTGGACAGTGGAAGCTGGATCCCATGTGGCTGATCAGAGTTCAAGTCCCAGTCCTGGAGGCTTGAAAACCAGCCCTGGAGACTTGAAGTACATACCTAGCACCCGTGCATGCCCAAGGCCCTGACTGGATGGAGGAGAGGAAAATGGTCACACTACCATGCCCTGAGTTAGGGGAGTGTCCTCTCTCCCTCCCTCTACTGTGTTCACACACCCTCTGGCATGAAGACAAAGCACTACAGTTATACGACTTCGCAGACTTGATATAAATCTTGAACAAAATAAGGGGTTTGGAAAAGCACTAATCACCCACGTTACCATAATTAACAACCATAAGTTTCACACTAGCCTGTACTTCTCTTCCAAAAGACTCAGGCATCTGCAGTCGCTGTGGAGAGACTAGGCAAGAGAGGATTTTTGTTTTGTTTTGTTAAGTTGATTTATCTTTTTCTTTTGTAAGAAACAGAGAGAGAAAGAGACAGAGAGAAGAGACAGGGTGACAGTGAGACAGGCACTCTCAAACAGGTATTTATGCCATGATCCACTCCCGGCCTCAGTCAGCCCCAATCCTGGGCATGCTGGCTGGGTGTGGGCAGGGAGGTCTCCAGACCCAGACTGGCAACTTCCCACGTGGGCAGGCCTCAGAGAGCCAAATTTGTGTTACTGCTGCACCATTGCTGCCCCCTCTGTGTGTGTGTGTGTATGTGTGTGTGTGTGTTTAGGTTTTTGCCATAGGGCAGTGCACTTGACAGAGAAAGGCAGAGAGAGGGACCAGCAGTTAGCGTAATGGCTATGTTGCTGGACTCCCACGTAGTTGACCGCGGTTCAAGTCTCAGACCCAGAGGCTTAAACTCACACCGGGTGCGTGTGCATGTGTGCCCAAGATCTCGAGAGGAGAACGGAGAAGGGATTGCGGTGTGGCCATCCTCCCTGGGAGGTGATTTCTCACTTTCTGTCTCTCTGTCTCTCTCTGTCTGTCTGGTGAGCGCACGCGCCCTATAGCAAAAACCTCTCCAAAAAAAGAAAAGAAAGAAAAGAAAAAAAGAAAGACGGACGGAGAGATAACAGTAAGAAGTCCCCCCCCAGGAGGGATGGCCATGGCCAGTCCCTTCTCCATTTTCGGCTCAGGATTTTGGGCACACATGCATATGGTCCCAGCGTTATTCCCAAGCCACTAGGTGCTTGACTTGAACCCAGATCTGCTATGCGGGAGTCCAACACCTTAACCACCACGCCACTTGCTGGCCTGCCCCTGCCGGGCTTAAAATCAAATTTTCTCATCTTGAGCACGTCGGAAAATATATCATCCGCTTTTTTTATTTGCCTAATTTCCGACCTAAAAATTCCCAAGATGACCAGCGGGAAAAGTAGCGGGTCCTCATGCAGAAGTCAGAGAAGAGAGGTCAACGGAAGGGAGTGAAATACACGGAGACCTGTCCCGCCTCTCTCGGGGATCTCGTCTGCTCTCCCAAGTTTCAGTGCCCGCACTCTCTGGCATGGAGGGTACCTCTGGCCACTGCTTCCTGGAGGAGGCGGTCGCAGGCACAAACACTTACTGGCTACTCGCGCCGCTTCTCCGGACCCGGACCAACGCTCAGAACTCACTCCTCCGCCATGTTGTCGTCTCCATAGATACAGGACACGCGGGACGCGGCGTCTTCTGGTATCCCAGGGCAACGACGGCAGGCCGAATGAGTCAAAGTTCATCGAAAGCGAGCGCACCGACCAAGTTTAGTCTTTGCTCTGTTTTGATTTCCTCATCTTCCTTGCTAGTAGGAACTGCGTGCTTCTCCCATGGTCTCCACTTGCTGGGACGTCCCAGCAATCTTGACTTTAGTCACCCTTGTGGGAGTCGATCCTGCTCATTTCCTACAAGCGTTGGTGAGCTTGGATCAGAACCTCGCTCCTGTTATGGCAATTGTTAACTTAAAAGGTTCAGAAGTGGGGCCGGCAGGTGGCGTGATGGTTAGGGGCGCTGGACTCCCCCATAGCTGCCGGCGACTCAAGTACCGGACCTGGCACCTTGCTTTCCCTCTCTCTCTCTCTCTCTTTCTCTCTCTCCCTCTCTGATCAAATTAAAACAAATAAAGTTACATAAAATTATTCTTTTAAAAATATCTATTTATTGATTTCCATTTGTTATTATTATTTTTAATTTGACCAGGGAGAGACAGAAAGGGAGAGAGAGAAAGGGAAAGTGAGAAAGCAAGCCACCAGGTCTAGGACCTGAACCACAGTCAGCCGTGTGGAAGTCCAATGCCTTAACCACCGGCCACCTGCTGGCCCCTAAATAAAATAATTCTAAATAAAATAATAACAATTTTAAAAAGCAGCCCGAAGTTATTAAATGTTTTTATTTTTTATTTCTTTTTTTCTTCTTTTAGCTTTGCTACAAGGCATGTTCTCTTGCCTGACAGAGACAGTGAGAAATCACCCCCCACCCCCAGGGGGAAATGACAAATCTCTAATCCCTTCTCCATTCTCTTGGAATTTGGAGCATACAGGCACCTGCACCAGGCATGTTTTCCTAGCCGTTGAGTGGGAGACTCCAACCACAAAGTGGGTCACATGGCATGCGGCCACCTGAACCATCACACGACTGGCTAGCCTGTGGACCGTGGTTATTTTCTACTTGCACGTTGCTTTGCAAATGGTTTCGTTTTGCTGGTGGACTTGGCAGAATGCGTCCTTGGTGTTTTCTCCCCACATTTCTTCCTGCCCAGCCCTGAGGTCAACATATAAAGAAGGAATGGTTATACACAATGTGGATTTTTGAAGCGCATTGTTCCTTTATTGGTGTGTGTATTGGGCAGTGGGCCTCATGCAGGTGAGGGCGAAAGTCTCAAAGTTGATTCATGGGCAATTAAAGATATTTCACTGGACCAGCTTCCTCTCTGATGGCAGGAGGATGTGGCTAGGAGAGCTTAACGAGTACAGAAGCAAACCCAGACAATGAGCCATGACTTGGGAGAGTTGTCTTGGGAAAGGTGATAGGTGGCCTGGGTTGGCCTGGGGTGGTCATCTAAGGCTGGCTGGGCTGGAAGGAGCCCTGGGGTCAGGTTATGGCCGCAAGATGAGGCCCGACATGTTCTTGGGATCCAGGAATGTGTGACTCAACAAGCTTTTCACTGGCTTTAACGGGAATCTCAGAACCTGAAACTGGCACTTGGGACACAACAGCTTTTATGCCGTTTATAGTTTCTATAATGATTTCCTTTTTGTTTTCGCTCAAGCTATTTTTAAAAATATTTATTGTATTTATTCATTTTATTTTAATTTGACCAGACACACACACACACACACACACACACACACACACATGGGGTGGGGGGGAGTGAGAAAGCAAGCCACCAGGTCCAGGACTTGAACTGTGGCTGGACATGTGGGAGTGTCTAGCACCTTAACCACCACGCCACCTGCTGGTACCCACTCAAGCTATTTTTGAAATGGCCTACCTGACTGGGCCTGGACCTTATGGACAAGAGAGAACCTGTCCATTCTTAGGCCAAAAAGAAATAGGGAACAGTGACTCTGGGTCAGGGTTTGGTGGTACCTTCAGGAATCCCGGCAAGAAGACCCCAAGGAGGAGGGAAAGCTCATGCTGGAATCACATATCTGCGCATCTCTTTACTGGGGGACCCCACCCCCACAGTTCCTGCCTGGTCAAACCTTGGCAGATTTGGAGTTGGGACGAGAGACTCTGCCTTTGTGGGGTTCTAGTGGCCTCCTAGGAGCTCAGCTAGTTCTGGAGGACTGGCGCTGGTGGACTCTCAAGGAGAGGCCCACCTGCTGGACTTTGCCCAGGATACAAAGGGCATGGAAAGAGGTTGAACCCAAGGAGGGCAAAGAGGTTTGATTTGGAAGTTTCCCTTTCCAGGAGCCCGGAACCCGGGAGATGACAGCTGCTGAGTCCTGGTCCTCATATCCTCCCTGCACCAGGAAGGCCACAGGGGAAGGTCATGTTTGGTTTAAGGCTATGAAGAAGGGTAGGTGCTGATTCAGGAAACTGAGGACCAGCATGTGGGAGAAAGGCAGAAGGGGAATAAAGAAGTCTCTGGGCTGGAAAATCAGGCAGACCTGTTAACATACTGACTGCATGGCCTTGGGCAAGTCACACAACCGCTCAGAACTTCAGTCTCCTCGCCTGTCACCTGTGGATCATTTTCAAAAGATCAAGTGAAGATCAAGTGGTCAGCATGCGTGAAGTACTTCACAGGGAGCAGTTAACCAACAAAGACGCCCCAGCAACACATGGAAGGTCACTCACTAAATGGGAGAACCCTGTAAATAAGTCACTCAGATTTCTGTGCACCCTCCTCTACCTAGGTCCCAGATTTCTGGTGTACAATGGAGAGGGGGTTCTATTGGACATACTCCCAGATGCACGTGTTGGGGTTTAGTTGTATTGTAAAGACACTGAGTGAAAACGTAACCTCTTTATGGTGCCCCAAGTTTGGGCCTTTGGGTGTGATAAGGTCACTAGGGTGTGGCCCCCAGATTGAATTCTGGAGGGTTTATGAAAAGGGGAAGGAGACCAGAACAGGCAGAAACTATCGACAGCAGCAGCTCTGCTCAAGATTCCATCCTTGGGGACCAGCAGTTAGCATAATGGCTATGTCGCTGGACTCCCACGTAGTTGACTGGGGTTCGAGTCCCGGACCCGGTGGCTTAAACTCACGCCAGGCACGTGTGTGTGCATGCCCAAGATCCCGAGAGGAGAATGGAGGAGAAGGGATTGTGGCGTAGCCATCCCCCCTGGGGGGGTGATTTCTCACTTTCTATCTCTCTGTCTCTCTCTGTCTGGCGAGCGCGCGCGCCCTATAGCAAAAATCTCTCCAAAAAATAAATAAATAAAACAATAAAAATAAATTTAAATTTAAAAAAAGATTCCATCCTCCACCGGGCTGTAACCGCACTGGACGTTGATTTCTGGACCCTGTCTTCCAAACCTTCCAAACTGTGAATTGAATCAACCTCTATTATTATTATCATTATTATTATTATTATTGAGATTTTTTTGCTATAGGGCATGTGCACTTGCTGGAGAGACAGAGGGACAGAAAGAGAGAAATGACCTCCCGGAGGAATGCTACACCACAGTCCCTTTTCATTTTCCTCTTGGGATCTTGGGCATGCACATATGCCTGGCATGAGTTTCAAGTCCTGGGTCCAGGACTCAAACTGTGGTTGACCATGTGGGAGTCTAGCGCCTAACCACTGCACCACCTGCTGGCCCCTCAACCTCTATTCTTTGGAATACTCGGCCTCTGTTATTTCTTTTAGCTATGCATTAGCAGACTAAGGTGGAAAGTTCTCCTCTCTGCATTCTGCTCCTTAGAGCAGCTTCCAAAAAAGGAAGCTGCTTTGCCGCTCTGGAGTGGAGAGAAACAAGATTCCTGGATGCTCTGTCCCTGGCGCTGGCACTTAGAAAGTCCTCTCCCACCTTCCTTCCCACAAGGACTGACTTGAGTGTTGGTTCTGAGTGCAGTCTGCCTCTAAAATACACTTGGCAGAGGGAGGTGAGGAGGCAGGGCATCCCACAGTTGTCTCAGAAACGAGTAAGATAACGTCTCAGCCTGGAGGGTGAGGAGTGAGAGAAGGCTGCAGCTAAGAGAGCCACAGGCAGTTCAGGGCTGGCCTAGGAGCAGGCGTGGGGCATTTCTGCACTAGAGGACTATGGTTCCTGTAGTTCCCAGAGTGGAAGGGTGTCAAGAGACTGGTGGCACCTCCAGCCTGAAATGGTTGTCAGGGCACAAAACTGGCAGGGGTGTGGAGGGGTAGACTGCCAGATGACAAGAGAATTCAAAGGACTTTATACATATGTGTGTGTGTGTGTGTGTGTGTGTGTGTGTGTGTTTAAATCTGACCAGAACAAGAGCAAGAAAGGGGAAGTGAGAACTGAGAAAGCAAGCCACCAGGTCTGGGATTTGAAATGCAGAAGGCCATGTGGGAGTCCAGCACCTTAACCACATGCCACCTGTTGCACCCCCCCCATGAGGTATTCTAATTCTCCAGACCCCTGGATAACTCTCTTCCTCTATTCAACATCCCTGCCACAGGGTAGAAAGTCACACAAGCTAACAAGAGAGAAAAAGACATAAGTTTGATCTCAGAAGACTCAAGTTCAAATCCTGGTTTCAACCATTTATTTATTTATTTATTGTATCAACAGTATGCATTTTATGACAATAACATGTACAGATTCAGAACACCCTAGGGCTCTCTTTATATCCTAAAGAAATCGAGCATTTACATTATTCATGGGTCATACTAAATTTAAAAAAAAATAAATTGTATACTTACCCCGAGATCGGATAAACTGTCCTGGGGTGTACAGCTTTAACACCATCATTGAAGTTGTTGGCAAAAGGAATTAAGAAACAAAAACAAAAAAACACTTTTTCTTGGGAGCAGAGAGTCTTTCATTTGCTGTTATAACCAACAAATGGCATGCATTAAATCAAAAATAAAAAAAGGGGCCTCCACAAACACAGATCTATCTGAGCAAGCTGACGAGTACACATTACAGTTTTATAAATGAAGGTTATATACTATATGTTACAAGTCCCAACTAGGCAAGTGTCAAAATGACATCTATTTTTTTGCTTGCTTTGTGATCATACCCCTT